GTTTCTAAAAGTGTGCAAGGCATTTATAAATATGAATGGGAAATGTACTATTTAATAGCATTAAATATACTTATCTTTATTGTTAGTTAACAATGTCAGTTAACTTTTGAATAATAGGTAGGGTGGCAATGTCACCTTTTATCAACCCTCCCTACAACCCATTTACAGAAAAAAAAAAAACTAGTTATAATCACTAACCCTAAGAATACTGTTATTAATTCAATAAACAACTCTGGAAACTACTGTACTCCTTTATTATAATTAACTCTGAGCACAGTGGAAAAAAACTGTCAAATTCAGTAGAATTTGAAATCCTATAGTATTGACCTTTGGTTCAGAAAAAAGTTAAGACCTTTAATACATTGTTAAGTAAAATAAGCCAGACACAAAAGGACTATTATTGTATGATTCCACTCATAGTATGAGTTGAAAGTACCTAAAACAGACAAATTCATGGAGACTGAAAAGTTGACTGGGATATGAGGAGTTATTGCTTAATGGTTAGAGTTTTTGCTCAGGGTAATGAAAAAGCTGTGGAAATAGAGAGTGGTGATGATTGCAGAACACAGTGAATGTAACTAATGCCACTGAATTATACACTCAAAAATAGTTTTTAAAAAATGGCAAATTTTTATAACTAATTCACTTTGTTATAAAGCAGAAACTAACGCACCATTGTAAAGAAATTATACCCCAATAAAGATGTTTAAAAAAAAAAAATGGCAAATTTTATGTTATACTACTGCCATTTTTTTTTTTTTTTTTTTGCGGTACGCGGGCCTCTCACTGTTGTGGCCTCTCCCGCCGCAGGGCACAGGCTCCGGACGTGCAGGCTCAGTGGCCATGGCCCACGGGCCCAGCCGCTCCGCAGCATGTGGGATCTTCCCGGACCGGGGCACGAACCCGTGTCCCCTGCATCGGCAGGCGGACTCTCAACCACTGTGCCACCAGGGAAGCCCACTACTGCCATTTTATATAAGGGACTTGAGCATCCATGGATTTTGGTATCCGCGGTGGTGGTGGTGGGGGGTCCTGGAATTAGTCCCCTGCAGATACCAAGGGACAACAGTATATTTTATCAAAAAATTTAAAAATTAATAATGTAACATACCAAAAGCCACTGAATTGCACACTTTAAATGGGTGAATTGTACGGTATGTGAATATCTCAATAAAGATTTTTTTAAAATAAATTTACTTATTTATTTATTTTAGGCTGCATTGGGTCTTCATTGCTGGGTGCGGGCTTTCTCTAGTTGCAGAGAGTGGGGGCTACTCTTCGTTGCGGTGCACGGGCTTCTCATTGTGGTGGCTTCTCTTGTTGCGGAGCACAGGCTCTAGGCGTGGCCTTCAGTAGTTGTGGCTCACGGGATCTACAGCACAGGCTCAGTAGTTGTGGCGCACGGGATTAGTTGCTCCATGGCATGTGGGATCTTCCCTGACCAGGGCTCGAACCCGTGTCCCCTGCATTGGCAGGCCTATTCTTAACCACTGTGCCACCAGGGAAGCCCAATAAAGATGTTTTCTTAAAAAAATTAAGAAAAGTTCATAATTTGGTCTTGAAATACTCAAGGGGCTCTTACATAAAAAGGGCACCGGGGACCTCCTTGGCGGTCCAGTGGTTAAAACTCCACACTTCCACTCTAGGGGGCACGGGTTTGATCCCTAGTTGGGGAACTAAGATCCCGCATGCCGCACGGCAAGGGCAAAAATAAATTAAATAAAATAATAAAATTTAAAAATAAAATAAAACAGGGAACAGCTTTGTTCATTGTCACCCTAAGAACAAAATTAGGACCTCCCAAGCATAAATTATAGGGAGGCACATTTCCACTCAATAAAAGGAAGAAACAATAGCCAATGCTGTCCAGAATCCTCAAGTATCCCCTCACAAAGCAGAGAAACTGGCACTGGGGGTGTTTTAGCAAAGGCTCACCTGTCAGAAATGCACAGGATCCCTAAAGGGTCCATAAAAAATTTGATATGAAATTGTGTCGATGTCTTCTCTCAACGGTCCTTACATTAGATTCCCAAAGGGGACAGAGACCCAAAAAAGGTTTAAAAGCCACTATTCTTGAGAGAATTCTGACACTTCAAAGGATACTGCACTAGATCTAAAAACTCCTTCCAAATCTGAGACTGTAAGCCCCTAAAGGACATACTCCCTGACTAAGAAGTATAATGAAAAGAGTATCCACTACCTATGAACATGAACAACCTGTGGTCCAGAATTGACTAGTGGTGTCCTCATTACACAAGTGAAATATACTCCCAATTTGTCTCAAAGGAAGATAATGCTGAATGGAGTGAGGCTCAGTCAGATTAAGATGCTCCTCTTCTCTGCTCCCACAGAACCCAACAGCTTTTCCTCACTCTCTTGAGCTAGTTCCTCCTCATCTCCCGGAATTTTAAACACTAGGAACACCCCAGGGCTCAATCCTCATACCTACTCTGCTTTATTTACCTGGTTCCACGGTTTTAAATACCCTCTATAAATTGAGAACACCCATATTTACAATCTCCAGTCTGGAAGTCTCTAAATTCCTGACTTGTATATCTTTTTATGGTTTTAGCTCTTAAATATTTAGATCATTGATCTAAATATGGACCATTTTGAGTTCATTGATGTATATAGTATGAAGACATCTATTCTTGAATGTCTATCAGGCCTCTCAAACTTCACATGTCCTAAACCAAACTTTTAATATTCCTCCACCAAACCCGCTCCTCCCTGTCTTCCATAGCTCAATAAAGGCTCAGATTAAAAATCTTAGAGTCATTCTTGACTTCAGTTTTCCTCTTACAACCTACATCTACACCATTAACAAATCCTGTTGGTTTCACCTTCCAAAATATATCTCAAATGCAACTACTTACCACCTCCTCCTCTATTAACCTGGATTATCGCAATTGCCTTTAACTGGCCTTTCTGTTCCCACCTCTGCCTCCCTACAATGTATTTAACAAGTACCCAGTGATCCTGTTTAAAGTATATGTCTCTCCCCTCTAAACCCTTCCACGACTTCCTATTTCACTCAGTATAAATGCCATAGTGCTTTCCACCGCCTACAATGGCCTACACAATTTGCCCCTACCACATACACACACACATTTTTCTGGTCTCATCTTTTCCTCTCCCTCCTTCCTTAAACCAGCTTTAGCAGTCCAACCAGACTTCTGGTTGACCTCTAACAAGCATGCCCTGCCTATGCATTTACTGTTTCCAGAGACTGAAATGCTCTTCCCCTAGATACCTCCATGGCTGACCCCCTAACCTACTTCTGGTCTTTGCTCAAATACACCCTCTTAGTGAAGCCTTCTCTGATAATCCTATTTAAAGTAGCAATCGTGCCTCCCCTGCTACTCCTATTCCCCTACCCTATCCCCCATCAAACACTTGCTTTTTCTCCATAGTATTTATCACCGTCTGACACAAGGTATATTTACTTATTTCACCCCACTAGAACGTGAACTCCATGACAGCAGGGACTTCGATTTATTTATCTGTACCCTCCCGGTGCTCAGAATAATGCCTAGTACCTAGTAGGCGTTCGATAGATATTTGTACAACTAATAAACAGCATGCTATATTATAATCGCTTGCTTACATATCTGCCTCCTTAATGGACTGTAAGCTTTCTGCAGGCAGCACCGCTACCTCGTTCACTGTGAATTTCCAGTACCTCTAATGTTAGTGCCCTAGCACACAGTAGGTGTTGATCTGAAATGAATCAACAAGGGATGCCAAGGAAAAAATCCTCAGCCTTTCAAACACAGTCCCTACTCTACCACTCTCTAAATACAAGTCAGAGCGTGTGGGTTACCTCAGAGAAGAGGTTTCAATACCAACTCCCACGCCCTCTCGCGTACCCCGCCCCCGCCCCACCCCCCGTTATCCCCACATTAACCAAGTGAGATAATGAGTAACGGTCAGAGCCAGAATATGAACCATGAACAAGTCCGAAGGAGGCAGTAATTGTGACCTGACTTGAGATCAAAGGTGGCCGGACTCCAAAAAGAAACACTGTCCCGGGGGTAGAAGGGCCCCGGTGACCACAACCATAGAATCCAAGTCCCTCTTTTGACAGCTGGGGAAACTAAAGCCCAGAGAGAACAGAGACTTGTCCGAGGTCACACGAGCTCATCAGGGCGAGAACCCACCTCACCCCGCCCTCGCCGCCCCAGTTGCCTCTAATTTCGGGTGGAGCCCTACGCGCCGAGCCCCCGCGGGCGCACGTGCTCCAAGGCCCTAGAGCGCCACCCCGCCCACGGCTAGAGGCCCGCTCCCCACCTCGGAGCCGGACTGGGGTCGACAACTGTGCCCCCCCAGCCCCTCTTAGCCCCGGAGCCTGCCCAGGGTCGGCGGTTGGCAGCGCGCATCGCGGAGGAGGGCCCGGGCTGCCAGCTCCGCGCCCACCGCTCACCTGGCTGGATCCCGCGGGAACCTGAAAAAGGCCAGGTCCGACTGCGTGCTCTTCCGCGTGCAGTTGGGGGCCGCGCAGAAGTTCGGCATCGTTGTCTGCCCGCCGGCCGGCCCAGCCCTCCCCTCCCCGCCTCCTCAGGGCAGCCCGCCCGCCCGTCGGGGCCGGGGAGGGGAGCCAGGCCGGCCGGCCGGCTCGTTAGGGCCGGCGCGCCGGGGGGAGGGGCGGGCGGGAGAGAAGCCGCGAGGGGCAGGAGGGGCGCCGCGGTCCGAGGCCGGGCTGGGGATGCGGCTCGACAGTGCTGTGAGCGGCCGGGAGGATTTACCGCCGCCGCCGCCGCTGGTGCACCTCCCGCCCGCCCGGGACGCTGCCGCCTCCTTCCCACAATGCACCCTGGCGCCCGTGGGTGCCCTCTCTTCCCTCAGCCTTCCTCCCCCGCCCCCTCCTTTCCGCCGACTTCTCCGCAGGCGGGCACGCGCAAGGAAGCGCGCCTGCTCGGGTGTGACGAGGCGGAGGCGGAGGCGGGGCCTGGCCCAGGCTGCCGCAGTGCGCCTGCGCACGGCCTACCCCGAGAGTGGAGGGAATGGCGCGTGCGGGCGTGTCTCCCGGCCTCTAGAGCCTCGGATTCCGGGGCAGCTCCGGTAGGTTTCGCGTGCGCGGGTTTATGCAGGACTGGGGCGAGCTTGCACGTTACATCACCGGTGCATCGCTTCTTGCTTGCTTAAATTAACACCACATAGGCTTTTATTGCGGAAATCGCCATAGACTCTTAAGGGCCGCGGAACGGGACGGCCTCAGTAACTGGTTTTCACACCCCCAGCAGATCTCCGTGCCGCGGAGTTGGACGCAGACGTGGGTTCTAGGAGCTTTCATTTTCCCCAGCTTTGCAGCTACTCTTTGGCCCCGTTAGCTTCTAGATTGGAAGCCGAGGGGCTGAAACTCAGAAAAGCAATTACTCTTCCCTGATGAGGCTTCAGAGGAGCAAGAATAGCGACATGATTCCACCTGCAGTCCTATAGAGATTGGTCCCTCTGTCTTCCCCTCACACTCGTGGCATTTTAACGTTCCTGTGTTATTTGAGTGCCAAAATGAGTGACCGATATATAGAACAAAGGATTAGTATCAAATTCTGCGTGAAATTGAACAAGTCTGCAAGTGAAACCCACCATCTTTTAAAAGAAGCTTATGGGGATGAAGTCATGTCAAGGGCCAGAGTTTTCGACTGGCATAAAAGGTTTAAAGAAGGGCGGGAAGACATTCGAGATGATGCCCGAAGTGGTCGTCCAGTCACCCACCGGACGGATGAAAATATCCAGAAGGTCAAGGACTTGGTTTGTTCGAATAGGCAGTTAACTGTGAGGATGATGGCTGAAGAGTTAAATTTAGATAAAGAAACCGTTAGGCTCATTCTGAAAGAAAACTTGAATATGAGGAAGGTATCTGCAAAAGTTATATCGGGTATTTTGAAGGATGAGCCTAAACCTCGAAAACTTGACTTTCGGTCTGATCATTCAAAGGAAACTAGGAAAAATAGCTCATGTGTGAGGGAAAAAGTAACAAATTCTGAACCATGGAGTCATCTCCAGTGCGAAGCTGGTGGGGAAATGCCTCTGCCTGTATCCCATCCCCAAATCCCTCCTGCCAGCCAGCTGCTGCAGACTTCATCTTCAACAAGCCTTCCCAGCAGGGCGGCTCAGGATTGGTTCACACCGTGGTGAAAGGAATCTGGGGTAGCTGAACCCAAACTAGAAAGCTGCCTCAAGGTTAGGCACCTTCATTTGCCGCTCATCTATTTTCAGCTTCTTTACGACTCCTCTCTACATGTCATGGCCCTGCAACTTACTCTTTGCTGGACTCTTGGGCCATCTTCCTTGCTGTTCTCCACAACTTTGAAGAACTTCTGGCTGTTGGCTTCTGGTACTTGCTTGTGCTTGATTTTTCTTTTTTCTTTTTTTTTTCCTTACCAAGTTTTTTCTTCACTGTCCAGACCTTAGCTTGTTGTGACTGTCCTCTTCCTTTGTTCTCAGTATTCTGCCTCAGGGGATCATACGAATGAAAAGTGGGAGCAGGACCTCTTGGAATCTCTCTCTCTGTGCCCAGGGAGGCATACTCTGCTGGGAGGATCCCAAAAGAAGGCCTACAGTTCCAGCCTGCTTCACAGTCAGGGCCTGAGGTATGGTACAGGAGACAGTGGCGTACTGACATAGTGAGCAATGCTAAGGGCCGATCCCTCCCAAATGACTCAGTGGGAGCCCCTCAGAACTCAGGGGTTGGCCACCCATCCTGACCTTCTCACAGACCTACCCCTCACAGAAGTGCTGGGTTTGTTTCATTCTAGTCTTGTGCTTTGGAACCCCGCCCCCCCCTCATTTGGGTGTATCCCCTCTGATGGAGGAGGAGGATCTGGTCCTGGAAAATAGAAACCAGGGCACTAAGGTCCAGGCTGTGATATGTGAGGAGGAAGACGAGGTGACACTCTAGACCTTGAATTAAGGGAGTCTGCTGCCTACGTGCTGATTCCCACACAGCAGCCTGTTTCTAGTAACTAATATCAACCTTGTCAGGTGTGTTTTTTGAGCACCTGCAGTGTTTAGAACACTGCTGAGCATTGACAGTGTGATATTATGAAATAAGGTCACCAAGGGCTGGGTGGACTCCATGGATGAGGTAGTTCCTGGACTGGATCCGTAAGGAAGGATGGGACAAGGAGGCTAGGAAATGAGGGCATGCTTCCCAGGCGGGTAGAACAGCATGAGGCTCTGAACCTCCGTCAGTAGGACAATGAGGGCACTATTGGCTGAAATAGCAAAGGCCAAAGAGGAAGATAATGGTGTTATACAGAAGATAAATAATCTGGGATGACTTGCTTCCTCTCTCCGCCCCCAACTCTATGCTAGTAGTTTATAAATTGCTTCCCCTGAGTCTGTGGATAGGTTTATATAACAGCCTACTTATTTGATTATCTAAGTTTCTCATCAAACCTTCAAAAAAGCAGTCTTTCCTAGTTGAGACTCCTTTATCTCTTTCTGGCTCTCTGCCAGGATTTATGGAATGGAACTTTTCCCAATTGGGTTCCAAGTAATACCACATAGACTGGAAACATCTCAGAGTGCCTGGTGGAGGAGTGTGTGTGTGTGTGTGTGTGTGTGTGTGTGTGTGTGTGTGTGTGTGTTGGGTGGGGGGAATGGTTAGTAACAGCATTTCACAGGATTGGCCAATGTCTATGTTTTAACCCAAGGATTCTTACATTCCTATTATTTAACTGGTAAGTTAGTAAACAGTATTGGTTGATAGTAGAGGCCCAACATTTATTCAACACAGCTGTTTTTAGTTCTTTTCACTATCACCTTCAAAAAATTACAAGTTTCCCACTAATACCTGTCAGCTTTGAGGCACTCTGAAACTTAGACCTTATCTCACAAATAAAAGATATTGTTCAGGAAAGCTGTCAAACCAAGCAACAGCTCACAGACGTCTGCCTACTTAGCAATTTCTAGACATTCCATCTCAGGACCATTACATCTTCCTACATCGGATAAGGCCCTGGGCTCCCCATAAGGCCTTTGCAACAGGGACACTGCACTTCTGGAAGAAAGCCGCCACAGCTGGCCACTTGGTGACTGAACCAATATTAATCCTTGCTCAGCCCAGGGGGTAATTGTTGCAGAATTGTATGCCCCTATGCCCAGGCCAGGTTCCCACAACAGTACCTACAGGCATTATTTCCAATCTGTGATAACACAGAGGTCCTGAGAGAACTTATTTCTGGATTTATCCCTGTCCTGTAAACAGGGCTGGAGTGACCCTGCCAAAGGTGCTGGACCAAGACCATGTTGGAGAGTAGGATACTGGAAGCCATGTTGTCCCAGACAGGGTTTGGACGCAAAGCAACCAGAAGCAGGTAATCAGGAGGGTGAATTCAAATTGTTACAAGTAGCTGTAATGAAAAGGACTTACCTTATTACCTTAGATCATGTCCTGGGCGGTAGTCAGGTTGAACTGCACTACCTGAACCCATTGCGCATTTGCAAGGCTTCTCAGAAAATATTCAATAAGATGATAATAAACCCTAGGAAGCCTCAAGTTTGGAGGGAAGTAAAAATATTCACGCAGAGCAAACCATTCACACATGGCTGCTCAGAATCTCTACACACCAGTTTAGAGCATAATCTCAAAAGACTGTCCTCAGACAAGAGAGTTCTCATGTAACAGTACCCCTTATCTGTCTACCTGCCAAATCTGTTTTATTTCTGACATGAATTTTGCCCGGCCTGCACCTTGCTGCCTAGGCCTCTTGAGCTTTTTGATCCTATAATCTCAGGGTTTCACCCATCATGCCCTAGGCCCTTGTCCTTGACTTTTCTCAGATATCACTCAGTTTATTCTCCAGTTTGCTCTTGCTCTTCTGTTTCCCTGGGCTTTGTTTTCTGGTTCTGGACCACACCCTCCAATAGCTGATTTTGGCCACTTTGGTATGCTTACCTTGAATTCCCCTTTTGGTCATGGTTTCCCACTCAACTGCAACTTTTCTCTCTTCTGATTTTTAGATCCCTCTTCCAGCTCCCCACTTCAGCCCTATAGTCTTTTGTTTGTTTTGTGGGGGGTTTTTTTGGCAGTGCCACGCAGCTTGTGGGATCTTAGTTCCCCAACTAGGAACTGAACCCAGGCCTTCAGCAGTGAGAGCACAGAGCCCTAACCACTGGACCGCCAGGGAATTCCCAGCCCTATAGTCGTGAGTAAAGAAATTGCTCCATCCCTGGCGCCAGATTGCCTTCATATATAAGGGGCACACTGCGAAGGAACAAAAAAGCTCCCTCTCACCCTTAGCCACCAGGGGTTCCACTCCCCAGAGGCAGCCAGTATTACCAGTTTCTTGAGGCAATTTGGTTACCTCTAGTACTCAGGAGTTATGAAAGTTTTTCAGAGATATAATATGCAAATCTCACTCTCCCAGCAACTGTATTTTCCCTGGCAGGAGAAGCTCCATCTAACCATAAGAGATGAAGCCTGGCTCTCTGTAGGGTGTCAGGAAGAGAGCTGGCCATCTGCAAACCTTGACCATAATTCTCAAGCTAAACACGCAGTCAAGGAATCTCTCTGGGTTTCAGGCTGACCTTCCCCTTCCCCATTCTGGTTCAAAATCCACATGGAATGTTATACACTACAGCTGGAAGTCTGGGAGGAATAAACACTTTCCAGGGCAGATCATTTCATCATTGAGTTTATCCAGTCCATTCTCCACCCATCATCCCACCTTCCACCTGTCCCACTGGTAATGATCAAAAACAGAAAGAGTAAAGTATTCACCAATCTTTGATTCTGAAAAACGTGGATAGTTCTGCAGTCTTCTGAATTCTGCCCCTGGCTCTGAGTTCTCACTGAAATGTTATTGTTTGGGAAGAATGTGTACATGGGGCCTGCTTTCCAGAGTCTTCCTTTCAGATCCATTTCTTAGAGTTCAGACTTTGGAGGTGCCCGGATAAATCTGGATGCTAAATGACTTGAGGATATCTAGTACAGGAGTGGGGTACTATTGGGAACTGTCGCTGTATCACATCTACTGATCAGCCAGCCTGCCGTTTACAGACCTCATTGCCAGCAAGTCTCACTAGGCTCCTTGGGATTGGTCACCAGGGTCCTATGTGGCTCAATAAGAGTCTTCTTTGCTGCTGGGATTGTATATGTAACCCTGTGTTCTCTAACTCCTTAGTTGGATCAGACCCCTCAGATTCTGCCAGGCTTTGACATCCTATTTGAGGCAACACTCATATTTATCTTCTCTAGTCTCTGTCTTATCAGATCCTTGCAAATACTGTCCCAGTTGCATCACCCTTCTCCTAGTATTAATATCCAGAAACAAAAAATCTGTAGTGGGAAACTTCAGTACTTCTTAGGTCCCACTTGCATTTAGTGAAGAGGTCAGCAAACTTCTTCTGTAAAGGAAATGTCTTAGGCTGTGTGGGCCATACAGTGGCTATTGTAATTTCTCAACATTTTAATGCAAAACCAGACATAGCTAATATGGAAACATGAGCATGGCTGTGTCCTAATGAGACTTCATTTATGGATACGGGGATTTAAATTTCATATAGTTTTCACATGTCACAAAATATTTTTTTCAAACCACTGAGAATATTAAAAAAATTCTTAGCTTGCGGTAAGTTCATAGAAAACCAGATGGTGGGCCAGATTTGGTCCATGGACCATAGTTTGCTGACCCCTGGTCTAATGTATATAAAATGTGTATATAAAAATGACAGACAATTGATCCATCAGTAACATTGTTAATGCCAAACTGATCTGGCAGTGTCTGACAATTTACTACTCTAGAAATTGTGGAATACTGAAGGTAGTCTTTATGGTGCCAGGAGCGTGAACTAGAGCTGAATGATTGACTGTATTACCTTGACCATATTCTGATTCACAAAATAAGTTTTGTGCTGTTCTCGGCTAAAAATTATAGTACACAAACTACTACCTATATTTTGCCCTTGTAATATTTCCAAAAAAAATTGGCAATACTGAAAATGGTGCCAAGTTACAACCAGTGATAACAGAATGAACTGAAGGTAATTTCAAAATTGCCTTGACCATGAACAGCATTTGAATAAGTTTGTTATCACCTATGAAAGTGACTACTATGGAGGTGACAAAACTCATTGAATTATATTTTTTTGCATGCTTGTAAAAAAATTATATATATATATATATATATATATTGGCAACTGGTACCAAGCTATGTTCTTTTAGATATGTTTACTTGTTTTTCTCCTAAAGAGTGCCATATTGTGTCACCTTCACTTAAACTGATTTTCCAAAGTTGAAATAGAATCTCAGGATTGAACAGACCTTTGCAAGGATGTTTAATCCAGCCAGTCATGTTTCCTTTGAATCCAGGAGTGGCTAAATCCTACAGCTGCTGAAAAACTGCATCTGAAAGGAGATTCTGTGTTAATTCAGCAAATTTTTATCGAGTGGCTCTATGTGCCAGGCACTGTCCTATGTGCTAGGGTACAGCAACAGACAAAGCAGACACAAGCCTTAGATTTGACAGTCTGAAATCTAATTATATTGCTGTTCACTCTTGCAAAACTTCTGTTCCATGTGCTCACACTAACTCATTGTTAATTGCATACCTGGAAAAAGGTATGACGTTTGCCACAGGCCTCTCTGCTGTGGTCATGATGCCTCTCCAGCTGCATTAATAATTTAGGGACTATATGTTCCACTTAAATTTTATTATTCTTTAGACCAATCTGTATTGGTAGAAAAACACGCTGGCAATGTTGCAAGTGTAAATTGGCAACAGCTTTCTGAAAAGCAATTTGGCAATATCTATCAGGAGCTTTAAAAATGTTTATAACTTCTGATCCTCTAATTTTACTTCTGGGAATCTGTCCTAAAGAAATAGTCTGGGGCTTCCCTGGTGGCGCAGTGGTTGAGAGTCCGCCTGCCGATGCAGGGGACATGGGTTCGTGCCCTGGTCTGGGAAGATCCCACATGCCGCGGAGCTGCTGGGCCCGTGAGCCATGGCCGCTGAGCCTGCGCGTCCGGAGCCTGGGCTCCGCAACGGGAGAGGCCACACAACAGTGAGAGGCGCGCGTACCGCAAAAAAAAAAAAAAAAAAAAAGAAAGAAATAGTCTGAAATGTGGGCAGAGTTTATGCTTTAACAATCCAGAAGTCCAACAGTAGAAAATTGGTTAAGTAAATTACACTATGATGATACAGTAGACTATTATGCGGTCATTATAATTAATGTTTGTGAAGTGTTAAAACAGCATGGCAAAATACTTATAAGTGAAAAGAGTGACATACAAAATTATATACATAAATCCAAAAATATTTTTCTAAAATATTAATACTTTTATTATCAGAATAAAACAATAGCACCAAAAGTTGGCAATGGAGAGAATGGGGCCAAACCATTAGTTTGGTCCAGGAACAATTAACTGGCTGGGTCCACATGGAGACTGTATGATACTATTGTATTGGTAGCAGGAGTGGGACAGAAGGGAAAGGGGCCTTCCCCGAAGGAGAAGGGGACCAGAATCCCTACAAAAATCCCAAGTGATATGAGAAGACACCACAAACGGCATGTTCCTGTTATGTGGTCCTAGGGAGGTAAAGGAGCACATATGGATCAAGTATATTCTGACAAATGGAAAGGATTTGAAGTATTCTCCTGGGTAAAATTAACCTCATTCTTGCATTGTCTCATACAAAATGAATATTCTTGAGATGGATTTTATTACAACTGATTCTCTGAAGAATCCTTGAGCTTCCCATATAATTTCTTTAGGATAGGAATGGCTTTCGATGTGCCGAGTCTACCTCTTCCCATGCTGGGACACTCAACACGGATGTACATGGGAGTATTTGATATTCCACACTGAGAATACCACATGAATATCAATAGTCATCTTAATGATGTAACTTAGGAAACTCGAAGGTTTGCAAATGTTTTTGTTGGTGTCCAGAATTACTGTGCTTTTATTTATATCTGAAGAGTAATTATTCACAGGATTTTCAAGTATGAAATGATGTAGATAATTCCTGTCTATCCATAGATGAAATTGTTCTGTTGGGAAAATGTGTCTTTCATTGTTATTTTAGCAAAATGTTTACCATTAAAATGCCAAATATATCTCCTCGGTGAAATTTCAGATTTTCAAATGAGTACCCAAAGTAAATACATGTTTTATAGGCATCTAGGTTACAGATTTGTCAAGCTGGAAAAGTTTTTCAAGGTCTAAGTCTCTTGGTCTATAGAAAGAACAAAGGAGTGAGACTGGGGTTTGTCCTGCTCCTTAACAAGCCATGGGACTTTGGGCAGTTCATTTGCACCACTGGAGCACTTCAGGTTACTCATCCATAAAAGGAGAATAATAAAACCTGTCTCATGGAGATGTTCACTTTGTTCATTCAACAAATATTTATTGATTGTTTATATGTATCTGACCCTGTTGTAGACACTGAGGATACAGCAGTGAACAAGACAAAAAAAATGTTTCTTCTTATGAGCTTACATTTAAGTGGGGGAGACAGACAAGAAATAAGATAAATGAGTGAAAATATAGTATGTTAGATAGTGATTGTTAGATGTGAGGCTTACATTAAAATAATGTATATGGGGTGCCCAGCACAATATCTGGCATGTAGTAAGTACTCAACAGAGAGTAATTTCCTTTGTTTCTTCAGTCTTCCGAACAGTTCCTGAATTAGTCTACAGCATGGTAGTAATCAGCGGAAGGCCTGACCCATTGCCTTCTACCTCTTTCAAGTTAATACGGCCTAAACCTATTTTGCTTAAGAAGACAAAAGAATGCTTACAGATGTGCTTTGTACTTCCTGTATGGCAGATTAATCAAGGTGGTGCCTAAACACTGTTGATAAATGGCATTTTCTGAAGCCAGTTGGCAGGGGTCCTTGCTTGGAGCTAGACGGCATTTGTCCACGAAGACAAATGCATTGTTTCTTTGCTGTTTAAGCAAAATGAACTAGGAAACTGTACTAGCTGTTTCTCTTAAAAGATGTGCGACCTTTGTTCTGTTCCAAACATCGGAGAACTGGACAAAATTTACATTATTTATGGGAAACCAGGGCATTGACTAAAAGCCTGGAAAAAGAGGGTTTAATACTTGTGGTTTCTATATATTTTTGCCCATTGTAGAAAATTTGGGAAGTTGAGAAATGTTTAAAGAAGCAGCCAAAAGTTCACCCCTAGGATTCAGTTATTTCACCAGACCCATCTCTCTGCCTTAGCTTGCTCCTTCAAAAACATCCAGTGAATAGTCATTTACTGAATTCCTTCTTTAGGCCTGGGCCTGTACTAGGCACAGAGGGTATAGCCCTTGCCCTTAGGCAGTACTGGCCTTGTGGGGGTAGGGAAAGGGCCAGAGGTGGAGAGACCACTGGGAATGGGCTCCTACCTTAGACTGTCAGTCTCTCCCAGAGCACAGCTCTAAGGAACAAGCTTTTGTAAAGAATTTGGAACAAAAGTTGTTATCATCACAGTTAGGGTGATTGTGGGAATGAGAAAGTGGAGTATAAAGAGGCAAAACACACAAAGCAAAAGCATTGGTAAAGCATTGGTAACTGGCCTGCTGGCCTTGCCATCCCTGGCTCCTCTTATGTAAAAGGGCCCTCAGTTCTGTCCTGCAGTATCACCTTTCAGAAGAAACTAGATATTAGGCTGTGGGCCAGTACCCCTGTATCTTGCTTTAAGAATCTAATAAGTGAAAATTCAGAGTTACAACCCAGATTAGATAAGGAAATTGGCCCAGGGAGATTGAGTGAATTTTCTCTAATCACACATCTAGTTGGTGGCAGAGCCAGGATAATAATGAAGGACCTTGAATTTCTCTCGGTCCAGTGAGGTTTTTTTCCATTACTCCGTTAGTAATAATATCCTTTACTAAAGTGTACATTCTTAAGATAACTTTAAAATAATGGTCACCCTTGCATTTGATAAATGTGATTTACCAACAACTGATTTACATGCAGTTTGTGGGGAACATATTTATGACAGAGAAGGTGGTGCAAAGGTTTTTCCAAGTTTTCCTGGGGTGTCCAGGCCCCCTGGTCCTTCTCCCAGACTGTGTATTCACAAGTAAATGTTGGCATTCTGTCATTCATTTTTTCCAGATGTTCTTCCCAAGTAGTGTGTTATGTTTTGTGTTTTTAATATTTCTCATATACATTTTAAAAAATCTGGGCACATAAATCCTAATAAAGTTCTCAACTATCTCTTCTATGCTGTCTCAAATTTCCGGGTGTGTTTATATTTATGACACAGTGTCTGAAGGCATGAACGCTATCACATCGTTAGGGCTTATATTCCTAAACCCTAGACTTGCGTTTCTAGATGTTCTGAAAATTCTTTACACTTCACTTGTAAATGCCACTATACTATGCGATGACATTTCCAGAGTAACATATTTCAAACAGGAAAACAGAGGAAGCCCAAAGAAAAGGGAAGTAGGTCTCAAATATAAATACAAAAAGAAAAAAAATCATTAAAAAATAGTAGAATACATAAGATGGGGGGGAGTGTAAATTCTAGTTTCACGTCCCCTGAGAACAGAATGTCCTGCAGACCCACTTTAGGGACTGGCAGTTTCCACTACCAACAAAGTAGCCCAGTCTTGGCATCATACTTCCTTTGACTCTCACATGCAGTCAAGTCCAGGTCATTCCCCTAACATGTCTTAGCATCACCTACTGCAACCAGACAGGGTGGTCACCCACCTCTCACGTCACTGTCCTGAAGTCCATCCTCTGCGCTGCTGCACACGTGCTATTTAGTTTGGAGTTTGCTGAAAACCGGAGGCTTTTTGATGCCAGCTTTTTGAGCCTGCTCAAGTCACACCCGCTGTCTCGAATCCATCCTTGCTGCCATCCACCTAGAAAACTCCTACTCAGCACTCAAGCCTCAGCCTTACCATTGCTATTCTCTACCCCACACTTCTTGGCAAAGCAGTCCCCACAGTGTACAATGCCCATTCTTTTTTTTTTTTTTAACATCTTTATTGGGGTATAATTGCTTTACAATGGTGTGTTAGTTTCTGCTTTATATACAATGCCCATTCTTAAGGGAAGGAAACCCTAACACTTAATTGAACTTAATTGTCTGCAGAATGTTTTTCCTCCCCTACCAACCCATGAACTTGAAAGCCAAGACCACATCTGATTTCTCTGTATTGCCTGCATCCGGAATAAAGCTTCCCTGGAGCTGTTCAATAAATGTCTGATAGATGAATGAAAGAATAGACTTATGGAAATTGCTTCTTTAAATTCCTGATTAAAGTCACCATTTTAGCCATTTTAAAGTGTACATTTCAGTGGCATTTAGCACATTCACAGTGTTGTGCAATCATCACTGCTATCTAGTTCCAGAACACTCCAAAAGGAAACGTTGTATCCATTGAACAGTCACTCCCCATTCACCCCCTTTCCCCTAGCCCCTGGCAACCACTAATCAACTTCCTGTCTCTGTGGATTGGCCTATTCTGGACATTTCAAATAAATGGAATCATGCAATATGTGACCACTGTGTCTGGCTTTTTTCACTTAGCATAATGTTTTCAAGATTCATCCATGTTGTAGCGTGCATCAGAACTTCATTACGTTTTAGGGCTGAGTAACAGGCTGTTGTATTGATATACCATTTCTTGTTTATCTGTTGGTGTTTAAATGTCTGATGGATATTTAGGTTGTTTCCACCTTTTGACTCTTATAAATGGTGCTGCTATAAACGTGTGTACAAGTTTTTGTTTAAACACTTGCTTTTTTGGTTTTTTCCTAATAAATTTATTTATTTTTAACTGCCTTGGGTCTTCGTTGCTACATGCGGGCTTTCTCTAGTTGCAACAAGTGGGGGCTACTTTTCATTGTGGTGCACGGGCTTCTCATTGCCATGGCTTCTCTTGTTGTGGAGCACGGGCTCTAGGCGCGCGGGCTCAGTAGTTGTGGTGCATGGGCTTAGTTGCTCCGCAACATGTGGGATCTTCCTGGACCAGGGCTTGAACCCGTGTCCTCTGCATTGGCAGGTGGATTCATAACCACTGCGCCACCAGAGAAGTCCCTAAACATCTGTTTTTAATTTTCCTGAGTAATATCTAGGAATGGAATTGCTGGGTAATATGGCATTATATGTTTAACTTATTGAGGAACCACTAGACTGTTTTCCACAACTGCACCATTTTACATTCCTACCAACAATGTACAAGGTGAGGGATTCAACTTTTCCACATTCTCTCCAACACTTTTCATTTCTTACTATATCCATCCTAATGAGTATGAAGTGGTATCTTGTGGTTTTGATTCACATGTCCCTAATAACTAATGATGCTGAGCATCTTTTCATGTATTTTTTGGCCCTTGTGTGTATCTTCTTTGGAGAAATGTCAGTTCAAGTCTTTTGCCCATTATGTTTGGGTCATTTGTCTTTTTTAATTTATTTATTTTATTTATTTTTGTCTGTGTCGGTTCTTTGTTGCTGTGCATGGGCTTTCTCTAGTTGCAGCGAACAGGGCTACTCTTCGATGCAGTGCACAGTCTTCTCATTGTGGTGGCTTCTCTTGTTGCGGAGCACAGGCTCTAGGCACGCCGGCTTCAGTAGTTGTGGCTCACGGGCTCTAGAGCACAGGCTCAGTAGTTGTGGCGCACGGGCTTAGTTGCTCCGTGGCATGTGGGATCTTCCCGGACCGGGGCTCAAACCCGTGTCCCCTGCATTGGCAGGCAGATTCTTAACCACTGTGCCACCAGGGAAGTCCCAGGTCATTTGTCCTTTTGTTGTTGAGTTGTAAGAGTTCTTTATATATTCTGGATACTAAACCCTGATCAGATACATCCTTTGCAAATATTTTCTGCCATTTTGTGGATTGTATTTTTACTTTTTCTTTTAAAAAAAAAACTTTTTAATTTTATTTTTTGGCTAAGCTGCACGGCTTGTGGGATCTTAGTTCCCCAACCAGGGATCAAACCAGTGCTCCCTGCAGTGGAAGTGCAGAGTCCTAACAACTGGACTGCCAGGGAATTCCCATGGATTGTTTTTTTACTTTTTTGATAGTGTCCTTTGATGCACAAAAGTTTTTTATTTTGATGAAGTCTAATTTATCTATTTTTTCCCTTGGTTGCTTGTGCTAAGAAACCATTGCCAAAAACAAAGTCATGGAGATTTCCCCCTATGTTTTCTCCCAAGAGTTTTATAGTTTTAGCTCTTATATTTAAGTCTTCGATCCGTTTTGAGTTTGTTGGTGTGTATAGTATGAGGTAAGTGCCCACCTTCATTCTTTTGCATGTGGATAGCCAGCTCTCCTTGCACCATTTGTTGAAGACTATTCTTTCCCCATTTTCACATTTGTTTTTGAAAGATATTTTCAAATTATAAGTTAACAATTCTTTTTTTTTTTTCTTTCTGTATCTTAAAGATTTTGCTTCACTATTTTCTGGGTTACATTGTTTTTGATGAAAAGTCTGCTGTAATTCTTATCTTTGTTCCCCTGTATGTACTGTTTCCTCTCATGCTGCTCTTAAGACCTTTTCTTTATCACTGACTTTAGCAGTTTTATTAAGATATGACCTGGTATAGTTTTCTTCATGTTTCTTTTGCTTGGGGTTCACTGGGATTCTTGAATTTGTGGTCCTAAAGTTTTCATCATTTTTGGAAAATTTATGACTTATTTCTTCAAAAGAATTTTTTTGCCTCTACTTCCTTTAGGGTCTTCAATTACATGTATGTTAGGCCACTTGAAGTTGTTCCTTAACTCAATGATGCTCTATTCAATTTGTTCGGTCTTTTTTTCCTCTTGTTGTGTCTTTTTTTAAAATTAATTAATTAATTAATTATCTTTGGCTGTGTTGGGTCTTCATTGCTGCTTCCGGCTTTCTCTAGTTGCAGCGAGTGGAAGCTACTCTTCATTGCAGTGCACGGGCTTCTCATTGTGGTGGCTTCTCGTTTTGGAGCATGGGCTCTAGGCAAGTGGGCTTCAGTAGTTGTGGCACGCGGGTTGTAGAGCGCAGACTCAGTAGTTGTGGCCTACAGGCTCAGTTGCTCCGTGGTATGTGGGATCTTCCTGGACCAGGGATGGAACCCATGTCACCTGCATTGGCAGGCAGATTCTTAACCACTGCTCCACCAGGGAAGTCCATCTTGTTGTGTCTTTTTGTGTAGTTTTTATTGCTGTGTCTCCAAATTACTAATCCTTTCTTCTGAAATATCTAATCTATTTTTATCCCATTTTATGTATTTTTTTAATCTCAAACATTGTAGTTTCTATCCCTAGAATTTTGATTTGGGTTTTCTTAAGTAGCTTTTCAATGTTGGAATAATTTTAGATTCATAGAAAATTTTCAAAGTATTCCATATGCCTCTCATCCAGTTTCAGTTTCTTCTAATGTTATTTTCTTACATTACCATAGTACACTTATCAAAACTGATATCAACATTGGTACATTAATAGTAACTTAACTTCACATTTTATTCAGATTTCAACAGTTTTCCATTAATGTCTTTTTTTCTGTTCCAGGAACCAGTTAAAGATATCACATTTCACTTAGTTGTTATGTCGCCGTTCTCTTCTGACCCATTACAGTTTCTAACTCTTTTCTTGTTTTTAATGACTTTGAAAGTTTTGAAGAGCACTGGTCATGTATTTTATAGAATATCCTTAATTTGGGTTTGTCTGATGTTTTCCTCATGATTTGACTGGGGTTATGGGTTTGGGGAAAGAATAACATAGAGGTGAAGGGTCCTTATTACATCAAATTAGAGGGCACATGATATCCACACGACATCATTGGTGATGTTATCTTTAAACACTTGGTTAAGGTAGTTTTGCTAGATTTTCCTACTGTAAAGTTACTATTCTTCCCTTTCCATACTCTGTTCTTTAGAAGCAAATCACTGAGTTCAGGCCACACTCAAGGAGAGGGGAGCGATTAACTTCTACCTCCTATGAAGGGGAGTATCTGCATATATTATTCAGAATTCTCCTATATGGAATAGTTGTCTTTTCTCCCCAATTTATTTGTTAATATCAGTTTGGACTCACGTATATTTATTTAATATTTTGGATTATAATCCAATACTATGTTATTTATTTTATTGGTCAAATTGTTCCAGCTTTGGCCATTGGATGCCTTTTCAGGTTGATTTCTGTGTCTCTTTGACATGCTCCATCCTTTCATTTTCTGAACACTTCCTTACTTTCTACTATTACATTATGCTCTAGGATCATCTTGCGTTTTC